GGGAGGGAGGGAGGGAGGGAGGGAGGAAGGAAGGAAGGAAGGAAGGAAGGAAGGAAGGAAGGAAGGAAGGAAGGAAGGAAGGAAGGAAGGAAAAATGCCAGGCAGCAGTGGCACACACCTTTAATCCCAGCACTCGGGAGGCAAAGCCATGCGGATCTCTGTGAGTTTAAGGCCAGTCTGATCTACAAAGTGAGATTCAGGACAGGCACCTAAACAACACAGAGAAACTTAGTCTGGAAAAAAGCCAACCCACCTAAAACCCAAAACAAACAAAAAAAGGAAAGAAAATCACTTGTTTTAGCAATTTCCCAGCTATGGTGACATACAGATTCCAATATGCTGTTTACTTTTATAAATAGAAGTTGTTCTTGCTCACATTGTAACAATCCCAAGGCAGCTTTCTTCCAGTTTTTAGAGGAACCCAGGCTCTCCCTTAAGTAGCACTTCACTGTTATCTAAATCCAGCTAGCACACACGTGGTGGCTAAGTTTCAAGAGAGTTTCCTCAGTGATCCGGGCGGCAATTGTATTGTATTTTTATGACTTAATCTTGGAAGTCACACTGACTTCCTCTGCTTTATGCATTCATCTGTAGTTAATGGCTGCAGAAGTTAATTTCAGGGAAAGGGGCACCGATCTCATCACTGAACCCTGACGTCACATGGGAAGGACGAGCATGTGAGACTAAGTTCATACTAGCATATCCATTCGTCTTTGACAAAGAGTTTCCTAAGTGCCATGAGAAGACAAACTGCAAACTGCCATTGACCAGTGAAAGCTGCTAGAAAACGTGCCATCTATCTGAGCCATGCTAAGAAAGAGTGAGCTGCTGAGGGGTGGAGCTCTGGGGCCAGAATTCCCACTGCTACATAGTTAGAGACTGCAGCCCAAGAAGATGGCTCGATTGTGCCTGTAACTCTGAAACCCCAGGCCAGGCAGAGGTCAGTGGGAAACTTCTCTGTTTAGCAAAGTATCCATTGCTGAAGCAACAGTTGACACCTGGAGGCAGCGCCCTCTCCAAGTCTCACGTGAAAAGTTACAAGTGATGTAAAGACATTAACCACAATCAGGAGAGACAGCACATGCAGTTAATGGCATATTTGCGTACA